TAAGAGATGTCCAAAATGTGCGGAAATGAAAAATTTCAAGCAAAGAAAAATTCACTCATGGACCAAGGAATCAGAGCCATGAGTTAGGGTCCACATGGATCATGCGCATATCAAAGATAGGGGATTGTTCTTTGTATTAGTGGATTTGTATTCAGGGTGGTCAGAGATTGTCAAAGTAAAAGACAGAAAAGCCACCACAATAAAACAAGTACTAAGGACATTATTCTCAAGGAATGGAGTATCCTAGACACTAGTCACTGACAATGCACCTGAATTTTGCAATGAGAATTTATGTGCGTGGTTGAAACAGATAGGATGCATCCCATACAACACACCACTGTATCATCCACAATCTAATGGCATTGTAGAAAGAATGGTACAAACGGTGAAAATGGGGTTAAAAACATTCTCACCACTTAATGAAAGCCTAGAAGCGTATTTACCGAAAATGTTTCTCAGTTATAGATCCATTCCACATGCAGGAAGAAAGGTGAGCCCTTCAGTATTAATGGACTGACAAATCAGAGCCCCCTATAACTATGACCTTTTCAACGAAAGAAAAGGGTGTGGTATAGAAAGAATAAAGAGGCTGAGCCAGAAGAAACAAATTTCCTGATACAAAAAGGACACTACACGGCTATACTAGAGAAAAAGGGACAAAATATAGTAGCACATGTTGATTAATTCAGAAGAAGAAACAAATTGGATGATGTGGAAATGGAAGATCAAGAGCAAGAAGAGACAGAAAGTCACAAAAATGGAACAGGAAATGGAAGAAAGTGAGTGTGAAAAGATGGATGAGAGTGAAGAAGAAAATGAAGAAAGACCAAGATCACCATTAAGAAAAAGAAAAAGAAAGAAAAGAGGAAGGAGAGTACAGTACGAGAGTAATCAAAAATAGTAGTAGAAGAAATAAGGGTTTCCGACCTTTTCGGTTCAGGGAGGTGTAGTATCATATGCAAATGAGAGTGACAACATAAATAGAGAGCAGAGGGTGAACAGAGAGCAATTGTCAGTGAACCTGTTTGCTAAATGTAATGTGGAGAACAATGTTAAAATTATTGTCCCCATTTTTTTACTTGAAGCAAAGCTGTCTGGTAAGTTGATTTTTGTTGTATAACACAATCAGAGAATTCATAGTGCAGACACATATAACTTCTTTCTAAGGCCTTTTAAGTTTTTCTCTCACTCTCAATCCCTCTCTCTCCATATCTCTCAATCATTTTCTCTCTCTCTATCTCAACATTTCTGCTTCCATCAAAAGTTAGTGGACTGCCATAGTAGATTTATTCTTCAATAAATTCAAGAAAGAGTTGGATGTAAAAACTTCTTTACAAATAAAGTTTGGTAGTTAATGCTATTTTTGTTTCTAACTGGACTACAAGCCAAAATTATATATTGGACATCATTGCACAGGAAATATTAATAAAAAAAGAAACCTTCCTTATATATCTATTATTAGTTATTTTTTATCCTGATAAATATTTTTTTTTTTCAATGAGATCATCTAACAATATGTGTGTCAATGACATTTTCCTTTTTTGGTAAAAATATATGTTAAAGGTTAAATGAGTATCAGTGATCAAAAGTGTTCCTTTCTTAGGAATTATTTTTTATAATTGTAGATCCTGTAAGCCTTAAATATGAACCAAATAAGCAATTTAAATGAAAAAAATGAAACTTGTAATACATTGATAAGTCTAGCAACACACTTATCATGCTCTCAACTCACACACCACACTCTCTAGGCATCAAGCTCTGTCTCTTCTTTACTCCTTCCTCAGTTGCTAGCTCCACTAGCTTTGTTAACTGATACAACCTTACAGCTTATATAGCTTTCTTTTCTCTCCTTGATTGGGGCTGGTGTGTTGCCTCAGAAGAGTTGATTCAAGTTTCCCAAAATCTTAATTTATTGGGATTGATGGCAAAATCTATTGTGAACCCCTCCATGTACTTTGATGTGAACCCCTCCATGTAAAAGATTTGTGTAATTCCTGCCTATGGCAATGGTAAATTTTGTGGTCTCTCTTGATGACATCTGTTGTCAGTTTGTTTTTGAAAATATGTTCAGTAACTTGGTACCCTTATTGTAAGGTACTATACTTAAAAATAAATAAAAACATAGTGACTAATTATCAAAGGAATATCTCTATTGTCTGACATGTCAAATTTGGTCACTTTGAGTGATAACTAGTATGTAAGTCTCACAGATCATTGACTGATATAGTGAATTCAATCCTTACTAAGTGACCTGCTATTTGTGACCCTTTATTAAAATGCTTAAAATCATTTTGAAGAATTCAAAGAAAATATGAAAAAAATATGTAACTAAATGTATGAATAATAAAAAGTTACTTAATGAATGTAAATATCTCTTACTTATCAATTTGACATACTTATAAAATATATATATCATATATTTTATCATCTTATTATATTTATCATCATGATTAGCTATTTTTAAATTTTCCTGCTTTTGATTAAAAGGATCTGTGGAAATATTTGATATGTCACTCTTATCATGTGGCTATTGTCTTGTGAATTTTACTGCATTTTCCAGGTTTCACATGATTAACACAGAAACATACTTCTTTTTCTTCAGGATGTGGGCAATCATGCCTCTGCAACAACAATCCCCTATCATTTGTAATTCTTAGTAAAACGTTTGTCTCCCCCCCCATCCTTCCTACTCCCTATTCTGCCATCCATTTTCACATGCTTGTGAAGCAGTTTTCTCACTGTTTCTTGCCTTCATTAAGTTTTGTGAGTGTCAAATTCTCCAAGCCATTTTTCCTTATTATATGTCACTGTGAAGGCTGAACAAGTTTCTTGAGAAGACACACATCATATATTGTCTTATGTCGGTCTTTATATTTTTGTTTCTATTTTATTGAGAATTCATTTTCTCTTCATATGCAGGCAGTATGCCCCTATTATAAGTTCTGGTTATTATTTGACTTTTTTGTATGTGGATGTGTGTGTTATGTGCATGGCATCAAAACCCATTCAGAAATATCTAAACTCTCAGCTGTATACAAATCTGCTTTCTAAGATCAATGGTTAAAAAATGTGCATTGAATGAGTGAAGCCTGAGGCTTTTAGCAAATTATTCTTTTTTGAACATTGTGAACTAGTTGCTACAGAATCACAGACAAAGAACTGTACCAAACAACAGAAACCAAATCAACTGAAGACTCCCAACAGTAGCAACAACTAAAATCAATTGCATATGTAACTTAAAGAGAAAATAATGACATAATCAAGATGTTGACATTTGACACTACTTCAAATAAAAGGTTTGGAAAGAAAACTCCATCATTGCTGGAAATAATGCTACTGGACTTGAACAACCTATTTTCTTGAAAAATTATTTTAAGAGAAAGATTTTATAAACTTCAACCCAAAGTTGTATTGACTGCTCGGTCAATGAATGCCAAATGTTTCCTTATAGGGAAACTGCTAATACTACTATTACCATATTCCAAAATAAGTCAACCTTTCCTGGCAGTTCAAACAGTTCTCATTAAAGAACATGCACAAAATTGAAAAAGCAAATTTATTAAAAAAATTTAAAAACAATTTCATTGTAATGACAAGAATGTTATAAAAAACAACATTATTACACTCTATGTTTTGAAACTAGTTTTAGAATTTGTTCATCTATTTATTTTGTGAGCTGATGTATTTCATTTAAAATCAGATTGTCCAGCATCTAGAATTACATTCAAATTTTCATATTTTCTGGCATATTAGCAATGGCCTATGAAAATGTTCCTCTGTAGAATGCTCCATAAGTTGCCAATTGCATTATGGCTGGGCAAACTAAACTAAATTTCATCAAATGAGTATCTTTGAAAAGCCATTTTATTCAAATATTCATAAGTTTTCTGTACCAAATGTAATTGAGCAGCACCATGTTTAAAAATAATTTTCTTTTTGAAAATGTTTGACTTTTTTGTATACCTTCAAAAATCAGTATACCAGATTTATTATTTGAACAGCAACTAAAACTGACCATAGTCCATCACATCACTATCAACAATTCTCACCCACCAACCAAACACCATACCACATTCACTTTGTTGAGTGAGGTTTCTACTATCTATTCGACCCAATGAAAGTTTGGTGAAAAGAATAGTTTGAAAAATTGGTCTTTATGTATTCTGTGGATCACTTCATTTGATTTTCATCATGGCTGCGTCTTTTAGATGATGTCTTGTGATCAGTTTAAATATTTCCCCACTTGATTTCAGACTGAACATTTTTTCAACTATTTTTTGCTAATACATTACCTAAAAATTTCATAGCTTAATAAAGATGATTTTTTTTATAATACATCTCTTGATATGAAACAGAGATTGATAAGATAAATTTCTCAACTTGCCCTTATCAGACATGCATGAGAGTTGTCCATGTTTCAATAACAATCAACATTTTGGTAGCACATGTCTATTATTTTTAGAATTTCCATTGTTGTTTTATCACTTCCAACCTCTGAAGTTATTAAACATTTCACTCTATTGGGCAAATCAATATTTCATCTTAACTGCACAGATAGATGTTCTCATCATTCAGCAAAAGGGAAACCCTTTAAATTGGAATATTTACCTTATATATCAGTACAACATGAAATGGATAATGGTTCTTTTAATTGTCTAAGTGCTTAAATCAAGCTTCATATGTCATGCTGATAATTCTTGTTCTCTAGACCTGTTTAAAACCAGGAAAGCAGGAAATTATACTTGGTCAATAAAATATTTGTATACTTTAGTCCAGTGTTCAAATCCAGAGATAAGCAAGAATTTTGAACAATGATTTTTCAAAGCAGAACCTTCTCACTTGGAAAAGTGGAGCAACACAATATTCTTAAATATCTCTTTTCTTTTCATTTGATTTACTAAACTAAACTTGGTAAATAACAATAGGAAGTGGTTAGTAAAATATAAACTCATTGAAAATGCATTGAATTAATTGCATGTCATTTTTTGTCTATTTTTCAGCTCTTCCTACAAAGTGATACATTTGATTTCACAAAGTGTGCCTTTCGAACACGTCATCAGGAAGTATTACTGGTCCCAAATCCATCTTATCTGGCACAATGGAGAATCATTTACTTTAACCCTTTGCTGAGAATGGAATATGAAAACATGCCAGTTCCAGTAAGCTGATTATTTTTAATTTAAAAAAAATATTTTGCTATCTACTTGTATGACACTTCTTGCCGGTCAGTCCTTAATCAATTCGTATGCTGGTCATTGAAGTGGCCATCTCAATTTGCACCCTGCTCTGATGAACCCTTTATTGGTGGAATAAATCAGTTTCTCAATTCTTACTTGTCTTTAAAAAATACCAAATATTATCTTCTCAATCGATTTTCTTTTCTGGCTGGTCTTTAGGATATGGTTTCATAACTTCTACTTTAAGGTAGCACCATCAATCAATTCAGCTCAGCTTTTCCAGATGGCCTCTTTGGTAATAGCTTTCCCCAAAACAACAAAGTCACTTTCTTCAAGCCATCTCTGCTTAAAAAATAGACTTTCAATAATAAAAGCAATTTCGCTTTTTCCTTTAGCTTATCTATCATTCCATTCTTAACCCTTTTCATCTTATTCCAAGTTATATTTCAACTTTAACCCTTTCTTTCCATTTACCAGTGTGACATAGTGTCATATTTGTACAAAGTTTTATCTATGAATATATTAACAGTGTAGTAAGTGAAATATATTCATAATGTAAATACATACTCCAACTGTGAATAATTACAACTCAACTCTCTCATCTTGTTTGTCTGTCTCTCTGCCTATATATATATATATATATATGACAAAATACAGGAAAAATATCAAGCCAATTACTTGCTATTTTGAGAGAAAAGAGTGAAAATATTTTTTCTTCCTATAACCCAAAATCCATATATAAGAGTATAATAGAAGAAAGACAAAGATCTGACTTTTTATGTCTGATGAGCCACAGGTTAATGTGTAGTAGCAGAAAAATTTAGATCCTTTATTAAGTATGTTTTAGAAAAATAGAAAACATGATGTATGTATGTATGATAAAAATAGTTTAAGGTATGCTATATTTATGGGTAAAAGGGATAGAGCATATGTAAATATAGAAGTGGACACTGAGGTCAACCATGATTGATGGCAGTCTGTCTCGTGCTTGGCTCATATATTGCATTCAAGCATGAAACACACTGTCACTGCTTCATGTTGATCTTAGTGTCTTTTTGAATATAAATGCAAATCTAAAATTATACTCAATGATTTGGTCATACTTAATCACTATTTGAATGAAACACACTGAAGAACTGCATTTGAACATAACTGAAATTGTAAACTCCACAGTTTTAATGAATTGGCCAAAAGTTTATGACAGTGTTAGGGTTTTTGATGATGAATTATGGTTCATCCTGCATAATAGTTTGAAATTCTCATCCTGCCTACGACAAAAAGCACTTAAAAGTTTTTTTTGTTGCAGAAACACTGAAAAACCAGATGGGTTGAAGTCACTAGAAAGGACATGTAAAGACAAAAAAAGGTCAAAAGGTCAAGATTAACATTTTGTCAAATTCTTCCTTTGAAGAAAAGGAAATAAAGAGCAATTGAAAGAGTATCTCCACAATATATTATAGTCTGATTATGATTATCCTCTAGATTATAAGGATGGGTTGAAGAGACCACTGCTTCCCAAAGTGAACTTTTTTCCATACATTTTTCAAGGGAAGAAAGATTTCATCAGAAAGACATAAGTAAAAAGTATACATGGCATGAATAGATACACTATTTATGCCATGTATACTTTTTACTTCCAATGTCTAGAAACATTGTTTTCTATTTTAAACTGTTTGTAAAAACTGCCAGAGAAATTGAATGTTATTCAGGATGAACAAGAATTGATGGATAGGATTCAAATCGAAAAGGAATTTCATTGAAAAACAAGTGGCAATTTCATTTCTTAAAGAAAGAATAAGCAATTTCATGTTAACCAACAATTACATACAACAGATCAACTAAAAAATTGAAATTCTTGGGTTTTTTTAGGACACTAAGTATCAAACCAGAAACTATGGTGTACAAGAATTGCATGTGATCTCATTGAATTCTACTGAATGCTTATAGTTGTTCCGTTCAGTTATAAGAAGAATAAAGATTCTCAGAAATACTTAATGAGATTCACAAACAAGAAGTACATTACTGTCATAAAGAGATGACTTATGGTTGGTACAATGGGACACAGCTGTTATGTGATAATCAACACTTCTTTTTCTGATAATCAACACTTCTTTTTATGTTAATCAACACTTCTTTTTATGATAATCAACATTTCTTCTTTATGATAATCAGTGCTTCTTCTTTTGTGATAATCAATGCTTCTACATTATTAAAGAATTTATTTATGTATTAATATTGTATGATAGGAAAGCATCTAAAGGTTTAGTTTTGAGTTCCTTTTATGCATGATGTTATTAACTTTCAAATAGTGTGTCCTCATTCAAATACTGTGTCCTCATTTAAATAGTGTGTTCTTATTTCATATCTGCATGTGGTGTGCCTTGTCATTCATTTTTTTATCTTATCTAAATGTTTAATAAATTTAATATGTTTGTTGCTAAAATGAATAAAATTTTATGAATTTTAGGTTGTATAGGGTTAAGGATTTTAATATTTGTTGCCATTTTTTACAATGTATATAGTATATCAATATTTGAAAAAAAACAATGTTATTTATATTAAAATTAACATAAAATATATTTAACAACCTCAGTCAAGAACATATAATATTTGTCATCAAAATAATTTAACAAAATCTTAAACTTAGAGCTTTTGGTTGTCTTTGACTAAACTTACTTAAATCATATATATATATATATATATATATATATATATATATATATATATATATATATATATATATAAATTTGTCATCAGCTTCACTGGTCATGTCTTTCATTTTATCTACTGAAGAAAAGATACTGATGATAATTGCCTGCAGATGTATTGCAATCAGACAGATAATCACAAGGAATATGGCATCTCTAAAATGTTGGATTGATTAGAATGTCATATGGCAGGTGACGGCTTTAGAATGTCATATGGCAGGTGACGGCTTTAGTATAATGAGTCTTTTATTTCCAAAGTCATTTCAAGTTGTGGTTACAGTTATGTTTTTTAGTCAGTGTAGGTTTTTGGAAATTTAGAAATTTTGGCCAACAAAGCTCAAATCAATTTCTTCCTTTCAGAAGTTTGGGTTTATTGTAAGTGAATATTTGTTTTGCCTGCCTGATGTCAAGTATGACCAACGCAAGACATCATTGTAAGACTCAGTTGTGTATCAAATATATATGTGTGTGTGTGTACACATGAACACTTATGTATATAAGTAGAAATATATGTATATATATGTGGTTATGGTGCAAAGTATACACAACCTCTATACATGTATATACAAATGCACACACACAGACACATATATACTCACACTTATACATATTCTCAGTTTGCTGATTTCATTTGAAATCCATCATTTATCATTCATAGATGCAATTGTATCAAAATCTCAATATATCAAAAATAACTTACAAAAGATTAAATTCATACAAATCTTTTATCATATTTTGTCTTATAAAACCAATGCTGTACATAAATTAATGATGTGAAAGATTTAGCCACAAAATCTAAACTGAATATTTGAAAGAGTTAAATCCAGTGAATAAGTATGCCAAGCTAGATCCACTCAAATTGATTTGTTATTGATAGTTTATTTTAATGTATGTTAATCCAATTAGGACATTTTTTGGCATAAACCTTCCCACTTCAATCTATTCTAGTCAAATGAACTCTTCTGTGATTGTCTGACCTTCTTCTAAGAACTCAAAACAAATTAAACTCAATTTATTCTACTGATTGCTCACCAATATCTTACAGGAGTAGAGCTTTGGTTTAAATATTAAAATATGTGTTTGTCCAGAATCACAGGTTCTTTCATGAATGAACAGCAAAAACACTTCCATTGTGATATTTTCTCCTCATTAATTATAATTAATATCTTCTTGACAAATTTAATTTTTCCTAAATTTGAATGAGTTTTGTTACCTTTCTCTAAATGACATTATTTTTGAAGCAACCTATTTTTTCCAATTATAGACTCTTCTTCTTCTATGTGCCATGTCTGTTCAGGATTCCACAATTTCCTGTCCTTTGTAGCTCTTAATATATTTTTCCTTTTTGTTATCTCTCCCAAACCTTGCTCTGCTATACATTTACTCAAGCTTGCTAGATAGGTTATACATTTTTTTATCTCTGTCCCTCTTGTCTTCAATCTATCCTGTGAGTATCAAATTTTCCAAGCCCTCTTTTCTCATTATGTACCCTAGAAATGTCAACTGTCTCTTCCTGATGTTAAGTATAAGTTTCCTTTTTGTTTCCATTTTCTCTAAAACTGTCGTCACTCACATGTTCACTTCATGGTATCCTCAGCATCCTTTTGCAGAACCATATTTCTTTAGGTTCAAGTCTCTTCTTCATCTGTGAGGTGATTGTCTGGCATTGATTGCCATATAGGAGAATTGATATAGACTCTTACTGATTCTTATTGATAATATAACACTGTTATCATAATTGTTGAACAATTATATCTAATTTAAATTAGAATCGGCTATTTTCTATTACTTGCAGCACAACTTTAATTCTTCATGATAGGTTAAGTGACAGAGTATCATTATTGCACAAGTTTTACTAGACATACTACCCAGGAACACTGTGGTCACACCTTCTGCTGAAGGAGGTTGTCATGGCAGTAAGAAATCTGATCAGTTTTCTGTTTTATTTTCCAGCATAGACTTTTTATGTATATAAGAAAGAGAGTGTAAAATATATTACCTAACGTGCTTTGCCTATAAAAACAGACTTTGCCATTTGTATTGTTTTTCCACCTTTGATGCTGAAAAAAGCCTGGAGCCAGTAATTTGCTGTACACAAACAATTAGATTGTTAGAAATACAAAGCAGAATGCAGCATAATAGAAAATTTACATTAATAACCATTTGAAACACGTAAGTGCTGCCAGATGAAAATGATAAAAAAATAAAATGGTAAGTGATACAGGTGCCAGTTGCCACTGAAAATTAAAGCAAAAGCACAATTGTATATGTTTG